AAGTTCAGAAAATGGATTCTGCCTGTCCAAACCCTTTTGAAGACCTTAACTTGTGATGACTTTGTTTGACAGAGTTTTTAAATAATATGATCTTAATTGGTTTTCTTGAAATAAAGCCTCTTGGCTTTTTGTTTTTTAAATTGCTCCTATAATTTTTTTCTGTAAAGTGAATAATTTAACTGCGTTTTCATACAAAATATACATTCCCAACTTTCTCTCATCTCCTCCTCAAAATATTCGGATCAGAGAGATTTGATTACTATAAAATCCAACTTTTTAAAAAATTACTCAGTAGCCTTCTTGGAAGGCCCAGGAATGGTGCACACTGAAAATTTCCCCTGGATTGTTTTCCTTGCTGTGTTTCTTGAGAATCTGGTTCTCCTTAGGGTGCTTAAATACTGCAGCTCTGGTTTTTGACTCATGCTTGTATTGCTCCAAGTTCTGCTCGTGGGAATTAAGCCCCGTTCTTAAGAGCCAATTGATTCTATATGCTGATTGTGGTTTTTACTGTCTGTGAGTATCGTTTATTACTGCACATTTATTCTTAATTTGTGATGGCACTTTTCTGTTTCTCTGCATTCATATATATCTACAGCGTACAGTTAATGAGTAAGGTGAGCTGCTGAGCACTTTGCAACTTCAACTGGAAAGGCTAATGTGCTGTATCCAGTCTTACAAGTTTACTGTGCAGTGCAGGGTATTTCAACATGTCCTTTTTATTATCGTGAATGCTTTTTATAATAGATACCTACAAGAGCAAAGTTTAGGAAGGCTTGCAGTGTTGCATCTCTTAATCAACCTCAGGCATTTTATAAATAGATGAAAGATGTTTTCTTGTAAAAATGGTTCTGCTGAACAGTATGCCAGCAGTGAATTTTACGTTGCCAAAATATGTTGAGCTGGTATTGAATTAAACTCTTCCATATTTTGGATTTCCTTGACATTTTAACTGTATACTGAAGTAAAGCACATTATCTCTAAAATGCAGTGCTTAAGAAAATCTTTTGAAGTTTTTCTCTTTATTGGTGCTAATAATCACAACATTTCCTCTATAATTATTGTAAAAGTGACGACTGGATTATCTTGGGTATTCTGAGATTTTTAAAGCTTAGATTCCTAGAGCTAAAATCTGAGAATTTGGTTTTGCATAGAAGAATACCAGTTATTTCAGCTGACTGGCTGTTTATCCACGAGTTTCAGCACAGCTCAGTGAGTCCTCTCTGATCTGCGGGGAAAGCACTGGGGGAGGGGTCCTGCTGTTCTGTGTGTAAGCACAATGGATGGTTTTGTATGTACTTAGCATGGACATTTTCAAACGTATTACATGGCTCGAGTATGCTAGTTAAAGTGTAGCTCTATATTGAAGAAGTGACTGTCTTTGTACTCGGTCTGCTTCTCGATAATCAGATTTTTTCCTATTGCTTTAACAAATAATAGTCATTATTTTATATTTTTTACTAAGGCAGTATTGAACTGGCTGAGGAAAGAGCAGAACCCCGTTCCCTGTCTGATGCACCTTAGACAGAACTGTTAACTTCTGATTTAAAAGCTGTATCTTGTTTTGCTTTGGTTTTTGGTCTTGAGTCTGCTGAGTATAAAGGGAATGTGTAAAGACGGCAGCAAGCAGTTAAGTTTGACCTCTAGGATTTTCCTATTATCAATGACATGTGGGAGGGGGAACAACCTGAATCTGGTGTCCCAGAATGGAATGAAGCCTTGGGAGCCAACTGAAACATTTTTCGCTTATAAAAATCAGTTAAGTGAATCATCAGCATTAGACACTTTCCTATTTTAGTCCTGTTTCAGAGCTGAATTACACATTTCCTCTTTTGTTGATAAAAGTAATTTTTTGCTGTTTCATTAAAATGGAAGAAGGCTTTTAAAGCTGGTAAACATTCTTGTCTGCCTGGTTTTATTCCCTGCATGGGCAGCCTTCCTCTCAAGGAGTTAAAGCTTTAAACAAGAAGCGTTTGATTTTTCTTATTTTCTGAGAAAAGCTGTACTAATTCGTATGCTGTATGTAATAACAGCAAGAGTGGCTGGTTCTTGAAAAACTGGAAATACGGAATCAAGAGCTCCCATTCATGGGCATTGAACCCCACAGCAGAGGACAAACTAAAATGGGCAGTTTAGAGCATTCTCCAGGTGAAGCATTTATGTTAAAAAGCCAAAAGGAATGTCCATTTGCTGAGAGATCACATCTGCTGAACTACATGGGTATCATATTAGAGATCTTTTGACTGCCAGATTTTGTGCAGTTGTGAAGAAAGAGTTTTATTTCTACAAGAAATACGAGTCAGAAGTAGCTAGTTGGAAATACAAACAACCTTTTTTGACTGTGAGACTAAGCACTGCATCGTTATACAAAGATCAAGAGCTTAGTTTGCACTGCATGAGAGATTCATCTACTAGATATGAAAATCCAAAGGAAGCTGCAGGAAAGGTAGGGCAGGGAGAAGGAACGAAAAGCAGCCATGGTGAGCGCAGCAAGGGACACAGGGCACCTACCTAGACTAGTGACTGGGTGACCTGAGGAGAGCGCGCATGTGTGTGAGTGTGCAAATATTTAATTTTTACCATTAAATTGAAGCTTTCAAAATGATACTTGTTTTCTCACAAAGTCTAGTTTGTTCTGGTTTTTAAATAAAGTCTTTAGTTATAGAAGAGGTGATGTACAATAAGGATATAACCCCCCATTTATTTCCCACATAAAAAACACCACAAAAGATAAGCGTGACATGTCTTATTAGTCAGTTTGTTTTATTTGGTGTTTTCCATTGGCAGTCAAATTCTGGTTTTTACCCTCATGATCCTTACATGCACATTAGCAAAATTAATTTTATTTTCTTACAGATTGACGTTCATCTTTCATTGGGTAGAGATCACTTCTGCATCACAAACAATATGCCTTGCTTTTAAGTGAGAACTTCACTCAAAAGAAAGGATTCTCTAATTTCACAATACTGTTTCTGAACTTCATTTATTCCTGAACCTCCTTTGTTGCAGAAGCGTATTTTTGAAGCCTTAGCCTGTTGACTCATCTTTTTCAGAATTTGAAATGGTATTTGAAATGGACTAATTCCACTTTTATCACAACAAATGAGTAGCTAAGAATGACAATATAGCACTTGTAAGGGGTCTTTAGTGGGGTTGCATGAAAATGACTGAGTTTATATTGCCAAAAAAAATCTGAAATTCATGTCAGAGTATTCTCAACTGAAGAGTCTAAACCAAAGAAAGTACTACAGTATTGCCATATCTCAGGTGAAGAAACTACTTCAGTATTGCCAAAGGAAAATGCAGGTAATTGCTAGAAGAAGCAACAGGAAAAGAGCTAGATAAATTCTTTCTGTTCTCTGTAATTGATAAACCTTTTCTGAATAATTTTATTTAAAAATAGCTTTAGTTAAGCTAAAGTGAGGTGTGGTAAGAGAAAGCTCACAACAGGTAGTACAGTAGTACATAAACTCTCAGGACAGCTGTATATATAGTTTTTGGACTCATGAAAAAAAAAAAATCCCAGTTTTCCAGTGGTTTACGGCCTTTTTATATAAAGAAGGATGAGGAAGTTCATACCATGTATATAGAACCTAAGTGCAGGATTTTTAAAAATTCCATATCCAATTTTAAAGAGAATAGATACTAATTAAATGAAAGGACTTTGAGAGGTCAGTGCTGGGTCAGTTGTTTCAGAACTTGGATCACTACTGGGAAAGTACACAGGAATCCTCTCAGTTGCTATAATGCCTAAAATACAGATGATGTATAAAGTCCCTGCTTCTCAGAGACTGCTCTGACAGTTCAGATGGAGAAGGAGGCAGACTGCAGTAAAAAGCAATCTGAGCCTTTACTGACATTTAACACATGAAGACTTAGACTTCTGTCCAGTTTTGAAGAGAAGACCAAGTTTAACTTCTTTATTGTGGTATTTGTCAATATTTTCCGAATTCTGTTGCTGGGAATTTTTGAAAAAGTGCTCCCTTTCAGTGTGCATTTGTGGTTTTTCACATACATAGAGATTACACTAAGTATGCACCAAAGTTATAGAAAAAGGCCTTGAGGAAAGGAGCAACTTCTGAGTTCTGGGTGGGTTTTTTTCAGTGAAACAGCTTTGGTTTTGTTTTTGGTTTTTTTGGTTTTGGTTTTTTTTTTAACCGCAGTTTTTGTGAATTAGACATGTCTTTCTCCTGTGCTCTAGTGTAAGAGTTTCCCACAGGAGGGGTAGGTGCTATATTCTTTAAGCAATGCTGGACACTCCATTGCACTCTCCACTAGACAAACAGGGAGGGCACATACAGAAAACACAGTCATCTGCAAAAGGAGAAATGGAATTATGGTCACTTGATCTAACCTATGAAAACAGCTCCTAGGGATCATCACTGCCACATTGTAACATTTCATCTACAGTAACTTTCTAAACAAAAATTTTTCATGCTACAGCTTTCAAATGTGTTCAGTTAAGAAAGAAAAAGAGGCGCTGGTGCTTGGGAAGGGAGACGATACACAAACTTCACTGCATCTGAGCTTCTGCACGTGATGATCCAGATCCTGCGGATCATGCTTCCTCCATGAAAACCCTTCTCTGGGAGTCAGCAAACACAGAGTGATCCCATCTCTAGTTCCTCTGCTGCTGCTCTCTAAGCAGCCACTAATTAAATATTTCTGTTTTCTAATCCAATCACATTCATAAAACAAAGCAGCGGTAATTTGCAGCAGTATTGTTGTAGCCTAAGTGTTCTGAATACATGTGAGGCACCATATATCCCTAGAACTCCTCTTCCTCATAAAACACTGTAGCTGTTCTGCTAGAGCTAGTGTAAGGCTTTAAAAATGCAAGTGTTAAAAAGAGCCTAAAGTATTGTGCAGCTATTGCAAAATACTTAACCATGTTACTAGACAATTTCCTTTCAAATGGAGCTGTTAGGCAGCAATGCTCCGAGGCTGATTCACCTCCTGGCAAGGACTTCTGTAAGTAAGTCATGTCTACCTGAAAGCTGTGAATTTGTACATCAGACTGAAAGGCTTTTTTTTTTTTTTTTTTTTGCACACATTCACAAAATATGGGATTTGCAAAACAGTACAAAATGCACACATTTCAGGTTTATATATAAATAGTGAGTACCTCTTGCACCACGTAAAGTGAGTTTTCCTTCGCTTGACAGCATGCTTTTTAAGCAATCATGGATTTGGATAAATGTATAGGAAAGTGGCAGTATCCACATTTTAGCAGCAGCAAAGAAGGGTTAGGGAGGGATTAGAAAGAAACACAAATTCTTGCAAGATAGTGAAGGTCAGGTCTTGATACTGGTTTCACGCTGAAGAGGGCTGTGGTGGCAGCAGGGCTGTGTCCTGCCGAGTGCCACGCGCAGCCACGCGCGTCCCAGAAAGCTGCAGGAACCCCACACAGGACGGGGATGGAGGACCCATCCTCTCTGGTGATTCTGCCTTTTTTTAAAGGTTAGTTGGTGACACAAAGGATGAAGCTTTAGGTCCTTCTTCTGCCTCGGGTGCCAGGGAGTGCTCTCAATACTTGCTGATAAAAGGAGAAGGTGGGGGGCTGCATCTTGTTAAGCTTGACTCCTCTGGTAACGAGTGATAAGGTCTTAATGGATACCAACTTTGGTTGTTTTCTTTTGGGTTAAACCTGTAATTTGTTCTAGTGTGGATGAGATCTGAACCTGTCCTTGAAAACATCCAAACACAGACAGTTTTCACTTCAGTGACAACACAGGTATCTCATGTCACACAAACTATCGCTTGGCACCTTCAGCTCCATTCTGATCTCTAGCACAGCCAAGCGTTCAGAGGGGATTTGCTAGAAGTGGACACTGCACACACTGCCATTACTTGTGTTTATGACTTGGTGTGAAAATTAGGTCATTTTATTTGGTTAGAAGCCCAGTGCTGTGTGGTGGTGAAGCACCCTCAGCTCCTGCCTTTGGAGCAGGGACTCACCTGCCTCAGCCCAAGGCCACCCCAGGACCTACCCATAGGCACTTCAGTGGTGGGGGCAGCTACGCTAAGGACTGCCATCTCCCCTCAGGAGATGAACAATTTTCATCACCACCTTGGGTGCCCACAGCAGATGGCAGAAGTTGGCTGGACGTGCTTTACAAAGGGCTTTGAATGGTTCGCTTTGGATTGCTATGTACAGGCACTTCACTGTCCTCACCCCTGTAACCTCCTCTGCTCCTTGAAAAAGGTCTTGTCCCTAATTGAAAATTGACCACGACTGAAGCACCTTCTGTTGGTTTGCATACAAGTGGACATCAAACCTACAATATTACTTAAATGTAAACATACCTCTTTTGCAAAAACAAAAAACCCCAAAATGTAGCACCACTCTAACCCTAAAGCCTAGAGCAATAAGAAGCCAGTTCAAGCCTAAGTACACATTAAATAGCTTTGGAGTCAAATTAAATAAGCAAAATTACAAGCATGTAAGATCTCCATTTGCTGCTGACTGATTGTTTTCTTGCCCCGGGTCATGCTTTATATCTTTGCACTGTCTTGTTTTGGTGGTTCTGCTGACTGTGTTTCCAGTACTGATTATTTAACTAGGAAGAAAGAAAAAAAAAATCATGAATACAATAGCACATGATGGAACCACAGTGCAAGCAATAGCTGCCTGGTACTGGCTGGTTGTATGTGACATTGGAAGAGCCTTTGCAGCAGCCTTGATTATCTGTCACTTAAAGAAGGATCACGCTTTTCTTGTATAAGACACTCTTGATGGCTGAAAACATGAAAGCTAAATATTAACTGCCATCGTTTGCAGCATGAGCTCCTTGGTCTCACCATGGCTTTCCTTTGTGTGCAGTGAAGGGGGAGAAGCACTGTGGTGGGTGTTTCACAAAAAGCTGAAGCACCACCTAAGTGGTGTCTTCATCAAAGAGACAGGCAGCTCAGTACAGCACGAGGGACTGACTTACTTTAAGAGAGTCCTTCAGAAAAGCTGCTTTTGTGGCTGGATGCGGACAGGGTAAGGAATGCAAGGTTCTCACCTTGGGGTTCCTCGCTTACAACAGCTTCCATGTTTTCTCCTTTCACATATTCCGAGTTAAGTCCCTCTGAGAAGTAACAATAAAGAGAGTAAAGTGGGAGGGTAGAAAGTAAAAATGATTTGCTTTGATGCCTTAAAAACTCTGGTAATGGGCCCATCTGCTGTAAAAGCTAACATGCCTTTTTGCAACCTCCTCTGCATTAACAGCTGTACAAAAACATCAGTAAACCATAAACAGTGCGGAGAAAGCCTTGCCGGAGCCGGATTTTCAAGTGACCATGGAGGCTTGCCTTGAAGGCACAGCTGCTAACAGTAGCCCTTTTTTCTGAGTCTCTTGCTTCATCTTTCTCACGCAAGGCAGCAAAGCTAATTGCTGTGCCAAGGGGCTCGGCTACAAGTGCAGGGACTAGGTAACGCCTGGCGGAGGGGACCGCTGTGTGGCAGGGGCTGCCTCCACGCCTCAGTGGATGGTGCAGTTCCCGTTAAAAGCTTAAGTTATGCAGAGCTGCAAGAAGCAGTTTAGAGCAGGGCTGTGGTAATGAAGCAGGATCCCCGTGGGATGTCAAATTCTGAATAAGTTCCTTAAATGCAAAGTAGTTTCCAATGTTTGCAACGAATGCGGCTCAGAGGAAGGGGCACGGCTGGGCGCTGCTGGGCAGGCGGGTGGCTGCAGGGTGGCAGCAAGGGGCTAGGGGGGGCTCCGCTTGCCCTGCTTCAGGTCAGAGCTGAAGAAGATTGAGTTAAGACTGCCTGGGGTGCGCCACTGACCTCAGCCACGCTCTCCAGCTTCTCTAAGGCCCTCTTTGGGGAGAGGCAGAGATGGGAGTGCGGTGCTGAGTGCTGTGTCCCGTTAGGGAGGGACCAGGGGTGGCTGGGGGCCGTGCTGGCTGGCAGAGGCAGGCTGAGGCAACCCACGCTGCAGCCACGCAAGACCCCTGTTTTTAGGCATCTAAACTTTATGTGCATCTAAAGGCAGCGCCAAGCACGACAGCGACCTGCTGTGATTCACCACCGGGTTTACAAGGGGCTCATTCCTATCTCACAGGGAAAAAGGGAAACGGGGAACAGTGCTGGGCCAGGGCAACGCAGCATGATGGGAGCCCTCGTACAGCAGTGGGGCAGCTGCTGCCTTCAAAGCACAGGAGAGAAGAAAACTTTCTGCAACTGGCTAAAAACCACCCATCACACCCCATGCCAGCACAGACGCTGCAGTCTGCGGCCGGCCAAGCTGTGGAGGCAGGAGAGGAGCTGCTGGAGCAGCACTGACAGCTCCATCCTGCCCGGGCACAGCAAGTGGCCCAGGGCAAGGGGACCAGAGAGGCTGAGCCATAGCCCAGGGCTAGTGAGCGGGAGACGTGCTGTAAGAAAAGAAAGTGGGATAAAGAATCTTTTCTTTCTTACACACATCCTTTAGAGGAATCGGCAAATGCTCATCAGAAGAGGCTCAAAAAGAAGAAATGGAGCCGCAGCCTGGCCACCACAGACGGATGGCTGGGCGAGAGAAAAAGCTGAGCCTGTCCCTCTGTGCTTCAATGAGTGGTCATTACACACCACTGCTGCCTCCCCCAAGACATGTGTTTTGCTGGGATAACACCAAATGCAATTTATGTTTTTCAATAAAAAGCCACTTTTGCAGTGGCTGACGGCTCTTAGATTTCTGTCATGCATTGCAATGCATCTAAGGCCTGACATTAGCCCAGCATGCCATGTCTGATGGCTTAAATTAATCCTCCTTTATAATTAACTTTAATTTCCTGCCGCCTTTCTGCGGCTTTGTGTCTCTCAGCTTCCCCCTCATCAAAGCCCTTACTCTTTTTTTTTTTTAATTATTTATTCTTGCCAAAATATCATTTAAGTGGGGGGAATATACAAGGGTGTTTCATTCCATCACATTCATTTGACTTTTCCTGCTGATCTAATTTACCAAAATGCTCCTGTTTGTTTCAGGCACAACTGGGAAAATAGCACGATTCCAACAGAAATTTCCAATCCCAAACACCCTTCCCCCAACATAAAGGAGATTCGCAGGAGATTTCATTTGATTAAGTTAAAAAGAACTTTTTCCAGCTGTTTGCCACCACCCCAGGCGGTGTGCAGGAGCCCACCATGGCCAAGCCAGTGCTGTGGGGAGAGCCGAGACCACTCCTGCAGCACTTACACCCGGCAACTTTATGGGGCAACTCCTGCAAAAGGCTCCTTCTGGGAATAGATCCTTTGCTGCTTAATTTGCACTTAATTGCAGTGATTGCTGTACTACACTACCTCGGGCTGCCAAAGTTGCAGAGGTTTGCTGTGCTTCCCTTGCTGCTGCCTGGTGAGTTTTTACCTCTTGCTGAGATTCTGGGTGGGTTTTGGTTTGTTTGTTTTGGGAGTGGGGTGGTTTTTTCCACATTTACCCTGTCTGGTGTCAGTGGTTTTGTCTTTGGCTGTGGCCGTCTGTGGGTGTGTGCGGGGGGCTGTGCGCAGCCGTGCGGTGGCACTGGGTCCTGGGGCCGGTGCTGCTGGGGGGCTCCTGCCTGTGCAATGCCTGGGGGGGGTCAAGAGCCCATGACTGGGGCTGTGCTCTGCCAGCTCCGGGTCACTGGATGCCTGGTAACCCCCTCCAGACTGGAAAATGGCAGCAGGGTTCAGGGGACAAATAGGTGGGTGCTTGCTGTGTCCCTGTGGCGCTCGGGGGGGACTTACGCTGGATGCTGAAGCAGAACTTCTTCTGCTGGTAGGAGATGTAGCTGGAGACAGCCCCAATGAGCGCCATGGCCAGGGCACTGGCGATGCCGGCAATTGTCCCGGTCTCAGCCACTCTGCCTGTGAGGCACAGAGAAAGCGGGGTGATGGGCCACAGGGGCACATGCACCACCCATCCCACTCCACCATCCCACTGCTGACCCCGTGGTCGTGGTAGTACCTACCTCCATTGTAGTCGCTATCGGTGCTGCCTCCAGCACCTGGAAAAGACACAAGCCTGTCACAGTGGCTCTGCACTTTGCTGCTCCCCCTGCCACCATGCCGGGTAGCCCGTGGTGGGGCATGCAGGGGAGGGGTGGCAACATGGCCCCAGCAGCACCCCTGGGCTGGGGGCAAGCATGGGACCCCGTGGGGCACACTCTCTCTGTTGCCCCGCACCTCCTCCTGGCTGCCCAGGGCGGTTCATCATTGCTTCTTGGAGGGGTTTGAAGCTGCTTCTCTCTCTCGCTGCTTGTGCTTGGAGGGAGCTTTGGGGAAGCCTCCACAGGGGACACCTTTGCCTTGCATGACAGTTAACGTCACCTCCGCCCCATGCTGCTCAGTGTAAAAACTGGATAAATAGAACGCTGTCAGATAGTTACACGGCATACTTGTGCTGTCACAGGGAGGTGACTGGCTAAGCTCCATAATGTCAGGGAATCTTCACTTGGCTTGAAGTCTGTTTTAAAATCACCTTCCCTGGAGAAACTGGGCTGGGAGGAGAAGCTGCTCCTGCTGGAAGCTGCAGTCCTTACCAAGTCACTTACATCCTGAATTTATGGAAGCAGGTCAGCATTGTATTAATGCTTCCGATGCTGTTTGTCCTTGGCACAGGGATTCATTAAATGTTGATTGGGCTTGCAGTGGTGTTCAGCTCTTTACTCAAGTGCTTTTAATATTTAATGCTGTGAATCCTTGCAAATGTTTAAGCTTATCCGATTGTTGCTGGTTTTCCTCCTTGTTTCAACCATTGGTGGTCACATGGTGGAAGGCAAATGAAGGCTTGTGCCCTCTCATGGCACAGAGGCGGGCATCTGCTTTCAGGGTGGATGGGGAGATACGGGTCCTGTCTGCCCTGGTGGCAGCTGGAGCTGCAGAGCCTTCATGGGATCAAAAGTAAGCACCTCCAACCACTGGCACGAGGTGTGCCCATAGAGGCCAAAACCCACATGTTCCCCTTTCCCCACACGTGTGCCCCCATTGGGAAGGTGAGCAGTGCTCTGAGGTGGTTTATAGGAGTTGGGCCAGTATGGTGATTATTGCCTGAGCTGTGACGCAGGTCTACACTTACCTTTCTTCTTGTCTGGACTGTAGCCACCATCCACGATGCTGGCCAGGTCATCATCTGAAAATCCTTTAAAAATAACAGGAACAAATGGTGGTTGGCACCTGAAGGGACACACAGCCCTGCCGTGAGGTAGTGGCCTCATGTGTGCTCCTCTCAACCTGCATAAAGCCAAAGTCACCCAGCAAAACACCAAAGCTGCCTTCCTGGGAGGTCAAATGCAGCCAGAGCTGCCTAGAAAACAACAGGAAGGAAATAGTGTGTGGCTTGCTTGGGATGAGAGGACTCCCAAAAACTGAGTGCTCTTGGATGGGCAGGGCCTGGAAATGAGACTTTTGGGGGATTCTGGGCAGCAGTCCCCTGAGAGCATCACACACCCAGGGTAGGACTGGCCTGCAAACTCCTGCTCCTGGGGAAATGTTCCTCTGCTGGGAAGATGGAGGCTGCTCTATTCATTTGAAAATAGCCAGAGAGTTTTAGAGAAAATATTCAAGAGCTGTGGTGGCTTTCTGTGCAGGAAGACCCAGAGCAGGGTTTTGCACACCCATTTAAACCAGCGGCTCCCAGTCAGCTATCTGTTCCATCTCCAGTGAGAACAGGGACCAGTCAATAAGCAGATCTGATTCTCTCACAATTACCAGATGTTAACAAAATATTTAACCCCAAATTATTTTAAGCTCATAAAAGAGGTAATAATTGACTAGCTTGAAAGAAATACCCCTGAATCGGAGTTTAAATACTACTGTATTTTTTTTTTAACTGAAACACTGATGTATTTCATAGAATTATAGAATGGTTTGGGTTGGAAGGGACGTCAAAACTCATCTAGTTCCACTGCCCCTGTCCTGGGCAGGGACACCTTCCACCAGCCCAGGTTGCCCAAAGCCCCGTCCAACCTGGCCTTGAACCCTGCCAGGGAGGGGGCAGCCACAGCTTCTCTGGGCAACCTGTGCCAGGGCCTCACCACCCTCACAGGGAAGAATTTCTTCCTTATATCTAATCTAAATCTGCCCTCTTTCAGTTTACAACTGTTACCCCTTGTCCCCTCATTCCCTGACAAAGAGTCCCCTCCCCACCTTTCCTGTGCCCCTTTCAGCCCTGTGAGGCCGCTCTAAGCTCTCCCCGGAGCCTTCTCTTCCCCAGCTGAACCCCCCAACTCTCTCAGCCTGTCCTCACAGGGGGGTCCAGCCCCTGATCATGGCCTCTTCTGGACCCACTCAAACAGGTCCATGTCCTTCTGATGTTGGGGTCCCCAGAGCTGGACATAGCACTGCAGGGGGGTCTCACAAGAGCAGAGCAGAATAGAGGGGGGAGAGTCTCGGAGCTCCCTGTACCTGCTGCCCACACTGCTCTGGGTGCAGCCCAGGACATGGTGGCACTTACGAGTTCATGAAATGTTTTGGGGGCTGAGCCTCTGCTGGCAGTGGAGGAGGGGGGAAGAAGCCGTTTGTGTGTGCAGTGTTTGTGCTGCCAGCAACCCGGGCCCTGCGGGCAGGGACCTGACTCTCTTCCCTCCCAGAGGGACAGAGCAGCCCCGGTGGAAGAACTGAGCACAGCATGTCTCGCTACAGTTGAAGAAGTTATCTCAGACACAGTTGCGGTGGGAATGTTTAACTCGTGCAGGATAGGTGCAGAGAAACCCGGTCTGGGAATCAGCAGGTGAATGAGCGGAGGTGTGGAACGCCTCAGCCCTGGCCCCAGATGGAGCCTCAGGGCTCAGCAAGGAGTGTGATGGGAGAAGAGACCCAATGCCGAGCCAGCAAAAGGCTCCTTCTCCAATGCTGTGCTTTAGGAAGGGCTACCTTTGCCTTAAGGCAGGCTCTTCCAGGCTGTTATTCACCAGCTTACCACAAAAAAACAGATTTATGGTCTTAGTAATGAGTATAAAAAGAAAAAAATCCCTGACTATGCCAGAACCTGGAGAGGTCCCAGGCAGTCCAGGGTGCAGCAATGCTGGGGCAACACGTGTGCTGGTTTGTGACTGGTGCCACGTTCCAGCGGTTCAACACCTCAACCTTTCCTGCAGGAGTCTGAAACCTCAACAAGCCCAGAATATCAAAGTGCAGACAAGTCACCTAGTTAATACAATCTAATAAAATATCTGACTATTAATTACATGTGTGAGCAGGGTATACAGCCATCTCGACATCAATAAACTAGCCATGCAAAGTCTGTTTTCTAGCTCAAGTGCTCAAGGGAACAATCCTTGTAGACAAATGATTCATTCACTGGAGTATTTTAGAAATGGAAAAAAAAAAATCTCCCAGCCCATAGCGTATGTTATGCCAGGACTAAAGCCTGCTCTAGATTTATGTCTTGGCAATGACTGCGAACCCCAACAGCACATGCCCTCGGTTAAATAGCTGTCAGGTACGGGGACGAGGGGGAACTTAACACAATCACCACAATTTAATGGGTCAGAAGAGACCCTGGGAAAGAAACTTGCAGACAGGCAACAGGTCGTTAGGCAGAGCCCCTCTCTGCCAAGGTCCGCTGAGGCGTGGGCTCCTTCCCTTACTGCATCCCCAGAGGAAGGGGCTGTGCTGCTGCAGAAACATCCCCCTCCTCGGCACGGGCAGGGCAGGGGCAGTGGGGTGCTGGCTGCAGGCAGCCGCCCTGGATGAGGCAGTGCCTCTGTTTCTCCTTGCCCCCTCGCTTGGTGGGGATGGGGAGAGCCTGTTCCCTGAGGGGCTGGGGGGACCTCCTGCAGGTCCCAGGGGACAGCAAGGCTGGTGGCGAGCAGAACCGAGAGGGGAAATCAACGTACCTTCACCTGGCCTTATGTCCGGCCTCCCAGCATCTTTCCCATCGTTCTTATCATCAAGGGCATCAGCCAAGTCAAGATCCATAGAATTCTTTGCTAGAAAACAACGTGGAGGTTAGCAGTGCTGGCCACAGGCTGGGGAAGTCTGCAATTAATTAATCAAGGAAATGTTTGGCTTTGCCAGAAAAAAAGTGCTGGTGAAAGAGATGAAGTCCCCAACACAAGCATCTCCCGGTTTCACTAAGCAGCGTCATGGCAGATCTTCCAAACCCATCTCGTTTTGTGTGCCGCTGTGGTGAGAAATGTCATGTTCTTCCCGCAGAAAGTCTCACGCCGTGACTCAAGCGCCAGGCAATCTGATAAATCAAGCCGGGTAGAAAAGGTCAGAGCCAAACGGGCGGTCCCGAGGGCCCTGCCAACAGAGGGGAAGGAGGCAGCTGCGCCGCGCTGGCGTGCCGGCTGGAGCAGCCTGTGAGTTGATTGCTTGGTGTTATTCTCCTCCAGGAACCGCCCAGTTGTACCCTGAGCAGCCCAGCTCTGACAGAGCAGCTATTGCCTTTGCTAAACGGCGGCTAAAACCACGGCGCAGAGCCAGCCTGAGTGCCTCAGCCCTCCCGCCAGCTCGCACCTTACTTTATTCTGATCCAAAACTGGTGATATTTTTTTTAAGCCTGGGAGCGCCTTTTGCCAAAACTCTGCCTGAGCAATGGTGCCCGGTGCCAGGGTGCCCTGAGCAACAGCCACGCCAGGGGAGGTGGGGGAATGCAAAATGTTCCAAGAGTCGCCAAACCCCCAGGGAGGGCAAGGCTAATGCTGAGATACCCTGTCTGCTGTGTGTTTGGGTTTGTGTTGGGGTTTTTTTGTCTAGGTGTCTCATGTGAACAAGCAGACTTGAGGCTGGAAATATGGGGGCAAGGGGCAGCACTGCTGTCCCGGCACATCCCGAAGCCTCTGCCTGTGCTGGCAGCGGAGCCGGGGCAGAGCTGCGCGGGCTGGGGAGCTCACACTCACCTGGGTTATGCTTGGGGGGGGCCCTTGTAGTTTTTGGCTGCTTGGTTGTGCGGATGACATCCCAAAAGCTGTTGTCTGAAGGGAGGGGAGAAAAAAGAGACAAGAATGATGTTACCCTCCAAAATGTGCATTTAGACAAGTGCTAGGAGGGGAACCTTCTCCCTGAAGGGAGACTGTGGCTGTGCTGGGACAGTTCGGTGCTCTGGTGTCTCTACAGCTTCAGCTGCCCCTGACACTGGGGGCAACCCCCCGCCCATCAGTGCCCTGGGGATGCTCCAGCCCTCGGTGGGTGGTGGGGTTCCCCTGCACTAAGGGATGTGTCAGCAGGGCTTGAATTTGAGAAGGGGACAAGCAGGACTGCCAGGAAAATCCCCCCAAACATGCTGCTGGCAGAACACCTGCTCATCAGAGCTCTGCCACTGCGAGGGCAGTCCTGCGCCAGCCCCCACGGCTGCCCACGCCATGCAGGAGCAGGACTAGGCACTGCTGAAAAGATATTTAAGGTTGTGCTACCTTGTCGATGAAATTTCCCACCTAACAGCAGTTAACAGCTCCATCATGGTTAAAAACGATTATAAATGCTGCTTGGTGAAGCCCGCAGTATGGCTCAGGCAGGGGTGCATGGGCAGCAAGGGAGGGAGGACAGAGGAATGCTGGTGCTGACCCTCCTGGCATGTTAGCAAGAGCCTGGAGCATCTCCTCTGCCAGCTCCACTATGGCAGCAGAGCAGGAAGAGATGGTCACCTTCTAATGTCACCTGTTGGTGGTCACCAAGACTTGCTGGAGCTCATCTGTCAACACCCGATCCCAGCCTCCTGGCTGCCGGGATGGCTCCTGACTACCTCAGGGAGTGTCTTCCCCTGTCTGGAGCCCCGAAGGCAAGCACACATACACCCTCCCGGGGTGCAGGGAGCTCTGCAGTACCTGGCTTCCCTGGCCTGGGGAAGGGCTTCGCAGTCGGCTTGGCTGGTTTGGTGGTAGTCTCCAGAGGGGTGTCAAAGTAATCAGCCAGATCAAAGCCTGTTGCAGGAGAGAAGGAGTTACTAGAACCCCCATCGTTTGTGGGGATGGTGTGAGGCTGTCGGCCTGCATCCCACACACAGCAGCTCTGTGGGTCCTGGGCAAGCAATGGCTGCACCTCTGCTAGCGGCCACCAGCACCCACATCAGCACGGAGCTGAAAAGGGCGTCCAGCTGCTCTGCTGCTCGATCGCAACCATACTGCAGAGCCTTCAGATCAGCCTGGCCATCGTTTAACTCTGCTTGTCCAAGCTGTGGCAGCCACCCACCCCTAGCCGGAGCAACCCCAAAGTAATGTGTTTTGGGGAGAGACCCACTGGTGTCCTGTGGCATCCCAAGAGACGATGCGGATGAGAAAGTGCTGTGGGGATCCAAGCTGGTAGCTGGGACCCACCCTGCACAGCCACCCGCCAGTGACCCTGGGCTGAGCAGAGCAGAGCATGCATGGGATAGGGGCCAGGGCACAGCAACCCACCACGGGAGCCCCTCGGTGCCATCACTCAACTAAAAAGCACTCCCCAGGGAAGAAGAAACTTCCTGAGATGAAGCCTCGGCTTCAGCATGTGTCTGTTTCCCGGGGAGAACTTAATGGATCAGCCTCTTGTTCAGGCTGTGATTCAAACACTGTAGCCCTGCTTGTACTTCTGGCACTTGGCTTTTCTTGTCTCTACAAAAGACCACAGCAGCCAAGGAGCTGGACAGTCAGATTTGCTTAAATTTGTGCCAAGATCCTCATGCAGAGGTGAGCAGATTCACTTACGAGTGCTCCCCCACTGCAGTTTATTTCAGGCTCCTCTGTCAGGGTTGAGCAACACTCAGCTCTTGTGACCGCGCTATATTTAAGTAGTTTGCAGAACTGAGCCAGAGGAGCTGCCGGCAATGAAACTGGGGTGAATCTCAGGGAGCTTCCTCAACCAGGACAGATGCTGTGGAGCCAGCCAACCAGCACATCTGATGGGTACAGTCAGAGAGACGTTTTCCCTGGGTGGTGAAATGTCACCAGGCTGGGCCTTTCCATGGAGCTCAGGGATATCTTGGAGTAAGAAAATGAAGGAAAATATCCTCTGGGCTCCCTCCTGGAAGGAAATCTAGCGGGTGCCATACAGCCAGGAACAAAAAGCCCTTGTGTAGCTGAGCGGTGATTTGTGTCTTTTCCATTAGGATACTGCAAAGTGTGCAAAATTCAGCCTTGGCCATAAATGCTCCATTGCCACTCGCCTTCAGCATGGACAGAAATATCAATATTAAATTCACTTAGGCTGTATGGGAGGAGTGCACGTATGCACACTGGCACCAGCTTTCTTACCCCAAAGCCTTGGGTAAGGCAGCAGCACCCAGCCACGCACATGCAGCCTGTGGTGGGGCTCGCACAGTTCAACCCCCCACCCCCCCCCAACACTGGAAAGCAAACCCCACGCTGTGCTTAAATGGAATTTATGCAAGAAGGTCTCACCTGTCCCACCTGCCGGCTTTCTGGGGCCCTTGGGAGTGGCTGTGACAAAACAGACAGGGAGGAAAATGTTAGTTGTGGGCATCACCAAAAACGTGTCACTTCTGGTCTGAGAACAAATGGCAAAGATTTCACCACGAGCTCTCCAGCTGATCACTGTTGGTCTGCATTTGTAAACCTGGAGCTCAGAGCCACGAAATCCCCAAGCATGGGGCGTGTGGGCAGAGGACCAGGGCTGCCTGTGCATGAGGGCGAGCGGCTGCAGCCTGTGCAGGATGGAGCCCAGAGCTCTGCGGGGCACAGCCTGCGGCCAAACGCCGCTTCTGTGAGGCCAGCATCCCACCAAGCGGGAAGCAGAGAGCTGTAATAAACTGCTCTGAATTAAGACTCCAGGAGACAGCACTAGAGCAAGGACACATACTGTACAGAACAGCGTGGAAAAAAAGAATAAGCTGCCAATGTTTTGTTGTCCCCTGCCTGGTTAGTAGTTAAAATGACAGATGATTTCCAGCACTGCATTATGTATGGGAGGTTCCCTGTCAGCTGGAGGAATTTTGGTGACACCCTGATGCTCAGGTCCTAGCTACCCTGGACACTCGTGGGCTAAAACAACCTCCAGTCAGCCTTCAGGGGGGTTGATTTATTTTTTTTTCACCCCCTGCAAACCACTATCTATTAATAGTGGCTAGCATTACCAAGTATATGAATAAATGATGAGCAAGAGTTGTGGCTGCTCTATTCCCATTAATTTCCATCTGCACCTCTGAATACCAGAGTGCTTCTGCTGGGCTTCATTTCCACTGTGCCAATATGGTTTAATGTGACCTGACTCCAGACCTTTCATATGCTTTTATTCCGGGGTTGATGCCGTGAGGTCCAGAGCGGGATGCAGCAGCTGGGGAGGCTGGAGGGACAGCACTGCCTCTTCCTGCTGCTCATGGCTGGGAGTCCAGCCAGGGGAAATGCTGCTTTCCCTCTGCACAGGGTGGCCGTTTGGTGTTTCTAAGCAGGTCTCCCCACATACTGTATTAAAGGGCTTGCTAAATCCTAGATGAGGTCAGACCTGTGACCAAGTCCGTAGTCTATCCTATCCCCCTCCTGCTGAGCCTGGCACGCCGCAGGAGAGATGCGCGGAGCATCCCGACTCTTATTCCATGTAAACTTCCAACATAACACAGCACAAGTGCTTGTGTGTTGTTAGACCATAAAGTAAGAGGTTTCAAACCCTGTTATAGCTTTCACTTAAATAATTGTAGGCGTGTTTTGTGTCATCAGAGAGGCTGGCGTGACTTGCAGAGTGCTCCCCTCTACCACCCGGCTTGGCGCTGGCTCTGGGGACAGTCACCACGAACCGCCTGGGGAGGGATGGGCAGTGAGGGGTCCTGGGCAACGGTGTCTGCAAATCTGCCACAGCACTTCTCTGTGGCCGGGCAGCAAAGGGGAGCCAGCCACATGTCCGGGTGCAGACCACTCTTGGGCTCAGCCCCCCGCACTGGGGGGAGGTGTGTGAGATGCCCTGGGGAGGGAGACAAGCCTCCTCACATCAGCTGCTGTGCTGGCAGTTAGGTTATCTCCTTTGGGTGTAAAATGAGAGCTGCTCCACAGAATTTCCTCCCACCAGGGTGGTGCCAGCCCCCCACCTGCCCCATGACCTTGCTGCTGTTTCCACCAGGCCTGAGGCTGAGCTCTGCCAGGCACTGCTGTCCTCTCAGTCACACAGCCCAGCCCCGACTTACATAAAAATCATGTATTTCAAAGCCAAATATTAAATATCAGCATGCCAGCACCAAGGCACCCCTTTCAAAAATTTGTTTCCTTTCCCTGATGGCTTACAATTGGAATTAAGTGAAGTAAAGCAGGAACCCAACGTGCCATTTGCCTTCCCCAGGCACGTGTTGCAGTGGGATCAGGGAAGGACCCAGCGCTGCCCCTGCCTGGCTGGGCTCAGCGGGTTGCCCTCACTCACTGGAGAAGGAGAGTGGTTAGCACATTAGCTTCCAGGCAAACAGGGTCATGTCTGATGGTAGGTGTTACTAATGAATGCAAGGAAGCCAGAAGGACATTTTCAGTGTCGTTGCTATGTGAAAGCACTGGTGTGTCTCTGCAATTTGCTCACGGGAATCGGAAAGCGAAGGGCACGTGGTCAGCAACCAGCTTTTCCAGGACTATCTCCAGTCCCATCTGTGGGCAAGCCCGGACACCCCGTCTCCCTGGGCAGAGATGATGAGGTAGCCCATATCCTCCACCACCCTCCCACCAGCATTAGATCCCAAAGAACAAATTTAATCTATCTATGACTACTTGTTTTCTGCTCTTTAAAAGAATAAATAAATGTGACTTACGTCGTTTGGTGCTGAGGTCATACAGGGCATCTTCTAGGCTGAAGTCACCTGGGTCGTCCCCATGACCTGGAGACAAAGAATCAGCGCTGGTTGTACTTGCTCGGCACAAAGTAAACCACCTTTCAGTATGGTGTGGCTAGACTCGTTTGCTCAAATTGCTTTAGTTTTGAGAGGGCTTTCTGGTTTTTTCCAAGCCTGACCCATCATCAGTGATGAGGAAGGCATCAGCCTTCTCCAAATGCTGTGACTGTTAAATTGCAGAGCAGTCATCTCCGGATTTTCCATTTGTCTGCCCTAATGGATGCAGTATAAAAACACATGCTATGCTTAAATTTGTCAAGGAGAGCCTACCAATTCATCTCTTGAGCTGCCATTCATCTGTGGCTGTGCTCACGATTATACATTTGCTAAACACCATGAAAACATTGGGACAGCGCAGACAAATTCAGAGAAAAACAAAAAAGCCCTATGCACCTCTTCTTTGCAAGTGCCTTCCAACATCAAAGGCTCTCTATGAAAATGCTGCTGCTGGCTGCCAAGCACAACTTAGCATTTCAGAGACCGCCTGCATCATTCTGCCTTGGTAATGCAAACCAGGACCAAAGCCCCATCCCAGGGATACACCTGACAGGCAAAGGCAGATTTTTTTTTTTTTTTGTTAGAGATGCCTCACCACAACTCCAGTCACTTTATAATATCCCGGGGATAACTCAGCGCTACACTGTGTTCTCCTGCGATAGGGCCAGCTAATCCTTCCTTTCTCTGTCTTTTTTTTTGCATCGCATTAATTACTGTTGACTTACCCTAGTTCTGAATGTATTTGTCTTGATAAATTCATGCTTTTACATCTCAGAGCATGCTGAGTAATTAATATCCTTTGGGTTTGCTAAGTACTGCAGCACTGCAAGAGAACATTAAAATGGCTTTCCTCTTATTCCTACTGCTAAATGGATTTAGCTATTGCCACCTGAGCTCCAGCGTGCTTCATGAATAAATTTAAAGCTTTACTGACAAGGACAATAACAACGGGAAGGCACCAGTCCATCAAAAAGCAGGTATCAGCATTTCGGTGAAAAACTTCTACCAAGAGTGGTCACTAAGTACTGCAACACCTCCAGCTCCGGTTTCACTTACTCACACATCACATCTCATTTCATTTGCCATCTACTTAAATGTACACTCAGCCAACCTGAGGGTGATTTAAATGCAGGGTCTGTGGCTGGAAAGTTGCTGTGAGCTTCTCTCCCCTGGCAAAGTACTTGGCGTTAAGCTACTGCTGGGTGGATGTGTGTAAGACACGTGCCAGCCCAGGCCTGTGTTTCTCATGGAGATGAAGGATGCCAATGCTGCCCTGTGAGCGTGGAGGAGCGGCCAGCAGTGGGCAATGCCCTGTTGAAGGTGGAGCCCAGTTACCACCGTGTGAAACCCGCAGAGCGAGGCATGCAGACGAGCCCCCTGCTCAGCACAGCAGCATGGCAGGGCTGTGCTTGGCACCCTCAGCTTGCCCACACACCCCTCTGCTCCCTTGCCAAAATATCTGCCTCTTGGGCCTTACTGCTGGCAAAATACTGGCCCTGTGAGACAGGTGATGCTCTCCTTCTCCAACAGCCCGGATGAAGCCGCAGGGTTATAAAGTGGTCTGTCGGTGCAAAGGAGTAAAGTAAGGAACATGTAAGACCAAACACCTGCCCAGCTGTAGTGCTTGCATGGGGTGCTGCCGAACCACCAGCACAGCCCTACTGAGACCCCACACGCTCACTACTGCTGTGGCTGACCATCCCAAGTTTGCTACTCTGGGAATTTCAAGCAGGCTCCCTTTCCCAGCATGGCTTTTTCACTAGCTTTACTGGATTTTCAGGAACTGGTGTTGCTCTGTCATTCTTGCCTTTCTATTTTAAACTGTGTGTAAAAAAACGTGGAAGGGGAAAAACCACGGCGCGTCTCTGGCGGCATGAGAAGCGCTACAAAGCTGGCTGGGGGAAATGCGCTGTCACTGTGTTTCGTTTCAGTTCCCTCTGCCTCTGCAGCAGGCAGGGCTTGCTGGCAGGGGGGATATGGTGGCAGCACCAAGGCTTGCATTGGTATGCTTGGAGCCATCCCTTCCCTCTCCCCCTGCTCCCTCTGCTCTCCATGTTTAAGTAAATGTTAAGGGCGCTGATGTGCTGCACTCTGATCCCTGCCATAAGCGCATCCTCCCTGTGCTTCACCTTTGATGTAGGAGCCCAAATACAAGGTGAGGGGGAGCAGGCAGCCGTGGGGGTGTGGGCAGCTCGCCTGTTCTACTGAAGGGCTACAGGGGTCGTGGGGCTGCACGGAGATGACGCCTGAGGGGGCTGCAGGCTCTGCAGGGAATGCAAGTGCCTCAAAAAATGGGCTTCCCCCTGCCTGGGTTTGAGGGGCTCACTGGACCCACCAGCTGAGCAGCATTTACACCTCCGTGGGTTTGACAGCTCCCCTTGGCATCTCTCCCCACAGGATAATAGGAAGGTGCCACTTCCAAAATCATTCTCTAAAGAGCCAGCTAGCACATGAGTGGGTCCAGGGGGACGAAGGGTGCTCAGGGCCCTCCATCCTCATGGGGCTGATGTAAAGCAGCACTTGCTACCGTGTCCTGGTCTGCAGCTGCATCCCGGGGAAATCCCCACTGCCAAGGAGTGGCATGCACGCAGCCCGCCTGAAGGTTGGGAAAACTGTCAATGCACTGAATCACCCAGTAAAACCTTCCCTAGGAGCTGTAGCGCTTGGCACAGTCTTTTTCCCAGGGCTTTCCCACCACTGCCCACGGCAAATCCAGATCCTTTTCCAGGGCAATTTAAACCCAGGAATCCCCTAGGCGTTGCCAAGGATTAATAATAGATTGCCAGTTAATTGAAGCTGACAACATCTTTATTTCATGCAAGGGGTGTTATAGAGATGTATTACACCTTTTATGGATCAATAACCGAGTGCTGCCGTCAAAGACATGCAAACATGCCTGCTCGCTCCGACAGATAAGAGCTGAACACTCTCCTCCTTATTCTTTTATTCAGTTATTAAGCAGTAACAAACCCGGCACTTCACAGCCAGATGCTTAAAACCCAACCAGCAGTCGGTACGCATGTTTACCTTGCAAATGCAGTTTTTCAGGAGCCAGTGCTGCTGCTGCCTGTGCTGTCTTGTGCAAATCCCTTTGCTCCTGGGGCCTTGGTCCTGCTCCGCAATCACTGGAGGAGAAGGTCTCCTGGCCTCCCAAAGCCCATCCTCTGATGGGAACCCATGCACAGCACAGAGTATCTTTTTATTACGGGTTTATTCTTTCCAGGAGAAGCTGGGGTACGTTCCTACATAGCAGAGCTCACAAGCAACCCGCTGCTGAGCTACAGAGGTGTTTGGAATGCATACTCTGAGCAGTCGGGGTTGTGCATGCCCTGATGTTTCACCTCCCTTGCAGGATGTACCCACACAGGCTGCAACCTGTTACAGGATTATAAAACCACTGATACGCAAAATCATCCTCTGCTGCTTGCTCGGTGTTGGGGAGCAGTACAGGATCTTCACTGGGCTTGACAATTAGCCTAGTTTGGGTTTTTTCCCACCCTTGCACTGAGTCCTTGGGAGAACTCTTGTCTCTGGATACTGGGAACTAACACGCATCCCCAGGGCAGCAGGGAGATGATTCAAGCCCTGGCCAAGGGCACTGGAGCATCTGCAGGGCTGCAGATCTATGTCAAAGGGGAGAACGGGCAAACGAGACGTGTTTTCCATATTTTTCTTTAATATGACAATCAAAAAAACTGAGCCGGGACATCTCATGGTACCTAAGAGGAATCCTTCAACACCAGAGTGGGGAGGTGGGGGGACCCCAAGGCTGCAGCTGTGCCATGCGGAGGCTGTAAAACAGAAGTGAGAGTTACAGCTGAGCCCGCGCCACAAGCTCCCCCGCCTCTCACCAAGTCCCCTCGCCTTGCCGGGGGTATTTTTAATCAGGACTAGATGCTCTTTGAAGGTAGAAGGGTTTTGTGCCTTAATGTATTCTCTCCTCATTATTTTCTGTAGCAGGCAGCTCAAACGTGCAATTGTACTCGTCAGCTTTTTAGTTTTTACAATTATATATATATTCTAATTAAGCCCCACTGTTTGACAAAGCTTGAATTACAGTATCATAATTCACACCCAGTATATTGCTAGGCTGTCTGTGGCACTCGGAGTGAGGTGTATTCCATTTTTAGCGCCAGCCCACAGATCTCTTTGTGCAATATATATGTGTTTAGCTTCCCTGGGAATTGAGAGCCCGCGACGGTCTGAGATTGACAGCCCGGGAGATTACGGGAGAATGCAAAGCAGGTACAAGGGCAGCGGAAAGTAATTCAAACTGCCTGACTTTTATGCATCTACCTTAGGAGCAGCGCGGCAGGCAGTGGGCAGGAGAGCACAAGGGAAGCACGTGCCGAGGTAGCCAAAAGCACCAGGGGCTCCCCAGCGACCAGCCTCGTCTTCTTGGCTCTGAGGTTGTTGGCACATGCAGGTGGTTCCCTGTGCAGGGAACCTGTGCAGGACAGGGTGCTGGGGATGGAGGGTTTTTGGGTGCAGGGCCGTGTCACGCTGCTGGTGCTGGACTGCATCCTCACAGAGGTGTTTCCTGCTGTCTCAGCAAAGATACAGCCCCAAAGGTCTGTGGGGAGCAAAAGGCTGCTCCTTCACAGGTGCAAATCTGCTCTGCAGCAGCTGGGGTGCTTCTGGCATCACCGGGGGTCCCCAGGAACCTCTCCTGGAGCTGGTGATGGCACAGTGGCACTGGCCAGAGCGGTGACCTGGGCCAGCACAGACCAGAGCTTCAGACTCACAGATGCTCTCCACCACCACTGCCTGGGCGCTGGCCTCAGCTGCCTACCAAACATAGGAAAGTTACTTGCAAGTGCCAAGTTGCTTGCAAATCTCGAGTTCTTGCTGACTACTGAGACCAAAGCGCAGTTCTATGTATGTAGGGAGAGCAGAGCTCCTCGGAGCTGGGGCGTTACAGGCAGTCTGGGAGCAGCGCTGGTGGGCCAGGCAGGCAAGAACAGCTTCACTGCAGCTGCACTTCTCCAGAGATGCGTTCATGCCATCTCCTGATGTCAGTTCTGCC